ATAAAACTATGAATGTCTTTGAAGATACGTACGTTTTAATAAGCAAAATCAGAACTGTAATTATGTTGATAAAAAGACACAAGTGCAACTGATGTGACATTTTTATTGTGGCAACGTTTCGCTCTCCATAACGGCTTGACAAAGCTCCTGGAGAGCGAAACGTTGCCACAAAAAGTCACATTAGTTGCACTTGTGTCCTTTTACTTTACAAAATCAGAAGTCATATATATATATATATATATATATATATATATATAATATATATATATATATATATATATATATATATATATATATATATATATACATGTGCCGAATATGTAAAACTGGTCAATTAGCAAGAACTCATTCAAAATTAAGTCCTTTCTAAAATTTTCCCTTATACGTTTAAAGATATATTTTTTTCATTAATGTTAATGTAAAAAAAATTAATTTTGCACCAAAAGAATCTTAGAAAACTTACCTAACCTTATTATAACAAGAGCAATTTATTTTAGCCTAACCCAACTAAATATATTTTAAATGCGTTTACAATAATTTAATACTAAACAAACACAATCAAATATATTTTTTTCGTTAGGTTCAGAATGATTTTGGCGAAATTATTGCATACACAAATTTTCACTTGTCCTATATGGCAAGATGAGCGTTGCTATTTAAGCCAAGATAGCAAGTTCTGCCTATTCGGCACTACATATATATATATATATATATTATATATATATATATATATATATATATATATATATATATATATTGTGTGTGTGTGTGGTCGTGCCGAAAAAAATATATTTAGTCGTGTTTGTTTAGTATTATTATAAACGTATCTAAAATATATTTAGTTGGGTTAGGCTAAAATAAATTGTTCTTGTTATAATAAGGTTAGGTAAGTTTTCTAAGATTCTTTTGGTGCAAAATTAAAATTTTTTACATTAACATTAATGAAAAAATATATCTTTAAACGTATAAGAGAAAATTTTAGAAAGGACTTAATTTTAAATGAGTTCTTGCTAATTGACCAGTTTTACATATTCGGCACGACATATATATATCGAATAGGTAAAACTGGTCATTTAGCAAGAACTCATTTAAAATTAAGTCCTTTGTAAATTTTTTCTTAAACGTTTAAATACATATATTTTTTTCATTTATATTAATGTAAAAATTAATAATTTTGTACCAAAAGAACCTTATAAAACTTACCTAACGTTATTATAACAAGCACAGAACTTGGTAGCAGTTTGTGTTAAGAATAGAAAGTGTAGTTACCTCGACTAATATAGTGATACAAGTCAAACACATGAAAGTTTATGTGGAAATTTGTGCGCATTATAGATTTAAAAATAATGGCAGGCATCCTTAAAACATAGGAGCCATTTTGAATGTTCAAGAGCATTTTTGGTTTTAGCCTACCCGGTACAAAAAAAAGAGAGATTATATAACTTTTTTTTTATGTACTGAAAATAAAATCGGTGAAGAAATCGGCGGCCATCTTGAAAAATGGCCGCTATCTTGAATTTTCATGCTGCCTGTCAACTAAAATTAACAGTGCCAGTTTTCGTGCTTGTATCAACACCTGAAAGGTACTACTTGCTATTCTAAGAGAGACTTGTGAGTTGAACAACTTTAGCAAAGTTAACAATAGTTGTGGTAAAGTAAAAAAAGAAGAATTGACACCACAAGCGTAGATAAAACTAAATGGATAATAACACACAGACACAAACTACATATCAATACGCATCTGTATACTTATAGAAAGATAACATATAGATATATTTGTAGAAAATTAATGAATATTCTCTAGCAACAAGCTTGTGAAACCATTACGCAGCTTATAAATGAATGCATGAACACGTCCATAAGGTAGTGCTGACCGGGTGCTCGCGTGTCACTGCCATATTGACCATTAAACATTTTTCAGCCAAATTAGGGACTATGCAAGGGTGGGAGAGAAGGTAAACTGGACAGTGTTGTGGCGTCGTTATTAGTGGCTGTTGAGGAAACCAGTTATCGACAGACTTAACCAGCAGTTACATTACGGTGGTACAGTAATTTGTAGCAATTTGTGAAGGAGAAAGGGAATGGGGGTAAGGAGAGTAATTTTTTATTTTCATTTTGCATGTTGGCTTTTTCTTAACTGACCTGTCATAATAAATGGGCCTGCCATATAATAAATGCTCTCCTTCAGGACAAATGGCCTTTATGATAAAAATATTGACGTTTCTGTCATGCTGGTGATAAAGTAAAATGTACAAGCCTTATTTAGGAGCAGTTTGTGTCGCAAAGAATCCACACATACACTAGCAACACTTAAGATGCTATAAGTAACTCTATTGATGTCACAAGCACCTCGAGTATCATTGATGTGTCAGACGATCAGTGTAATGAAGATTCACTTGGCTGTCTGCGCTGTGTAAACAATCTGAAGGAGGAGAATAACACAATTACCTTAGTAATCAAAAAATATAAATGTCGCAAACTTACGTTTGACAATGGAGATCATTCCCGCTAACACACGTGGGTACACACAGCGTGTTTTGGTGGCTCCGTGAAGGGTGTGCGTGAAGCCTGAAAGATGTGAGTGAAGCGTGAAATATGCGCATGAAGCGTGAAAGGTGTGTGTGTGAAGCGTGAAAGATATTCATGAAGCGTGAAATATGCGGCGTGAAAGATATTCATGAAGCGTGAAATATGCGGCGTGAAAGATATTCATGAAGCATGAAATATGTGCATGAAGCGTGAAAGATGTGCGTGAAGCGTGAAAGATGTGCATGAAGCGTGAAAGATGTGCATGAAGCGTGAAATATGTGCATGAAGCGTGAAAGATGTGCGCGAAGCGTGAAAGATGTGCGTGAAGAGTGAAAGCTGTGTATGAAGCGTGAAAGATGTGCATGAAGAGGAAAACGAGTGCATGAAGCGGAAAACGAGTGCATGAAGCGGAAAACGAGTGCATGAAGCGGAAAACGAGTGCATGAAGCGGAAAACGAGTGCATGAAGCGGAAAACGAGTGCATGAAGCGGAAAACGAGTGCATGAAGCGGAAAACGAGTGCATGAAGCGGGAAACGAGTGCATGAAGCGGGAAACGAGTGTATGCAACATGTAAGGTGTGCATGGATCGTGTTAAGAGAGAGAGACCTCCCAGACTAGATCAATGTTAGTGTCACTTAAGAAGAGAGAGAGAGAGAGAGAGAGAGAGGTACGTCCTTCACGTGGCAACAGCAATAATAAACACAGTAAGCAGCACTTTGTCAACATGGAAAAAAACATTATTCTTGGATGCTAAAAAAACTGTCAGATACAAGGAACATAGTACTGCCACGTGTGTGTGTGTGTGTGTGTGTGTGTGTGTGTGTTGTGTGTGTGTGTGTGTGTGCGTGTGTGTGTGTGTGCGTGTGCGTGCGTGCGCGCGCGCGCCCGGTCATGTAAATGCACACGTGTGTGCGTGCGTGGAAATGTTTCATTGGGAGTCTTGCATATGCATGAGCGTGGGTGGGGGAAATTAAGTGACGATGAGGGAGAGAGAGAGAGAGAGAGGTATACTGGAAAAGAGATAACAGAGGACTTTACAGTGATAGCAAGATGACCCTCTTAAGATTTAACAACCCTGTCTATCACTGTTTTGTATGAAGACAACAGAAGTAGTGTCGCTAGAATAAAGAGAAGGCTCTCTGCCCACCCTTCACTCCCTCCGGCCACACTGCCGGCATAAGTGGGGGAAGACAATTCCAATGATTTATTGAACGATAAAGAAGAAATTTTAAGTTTGGACATGGCAACTCTATTGCTACTATTGTTACTGTGACAGCTACTACCACTACTATTGTGACAGCTACTACTACTGTGACAGCTACTACTACTACTTTGACAACTATTACTACTATGACAGCTGCTGCTACTACTACAGTTAGTACTGCTACAAATACTACGACCACTGCAACTACCATGAAAGTTTCAAATATTCGAGGCAGGTTGCTAATGCAGTATAAGTCCGACTCCACCTTAAGCACACCCAGCTTGATCCAGTGTACCAGAACACCAAATACACCTCACCTTAACTATGCTATTTAGTTTATTTCCCCAAATTATACAAACTAGGATGATAAACTAGAGAGGCTGCAGAGAAGGGCAACAAAGCTCATAGATTCATGACCCAATTTATCCTGTGAAGAACGACTGAAAGCACTGAATTTGTCGGTTGCCGCTTCATTATACCAGACTGTCCACTCATCTCTCGTCCTCCTGTCTCCTCTGATTATTATCATTTTATCGCTTGGAAATACATATTTTTATTTCGGTATTTTAATTTGCGTAAATATGGAGGCTTGCGTGTGAGTTAATGGGTTTTCTTTTTAAGGTCTCAGCTACTTGGAATTCGTACGCGAGTCTGTGTGCGTATTGGAGCAGTTGAATAATTTAGTTATGAAAGAAAGAGAGGCAGGTGAAGATTACATCTTCTGACAACAGTAGACTATTAGTGTCAAACTTGTGTTTTTGACTAATTGAACCGGCGGGTTATTCAGTGATATTCCAAGTGGTATCTATGGTAACTAATAAATGCTAATAGAACGCAGGTAAATACACTGTTGTAGTCTTGATATAATCTGTCTAATATACAGTGTGAGTAGCAACACATGAATAACAATAAAACGGATGATGATAATAATAATTATATAGTAATTATGATAATAGTAATTATAATATTAATTATAATAATGGTAATAAAATAATTATAATAAAACAATAATAATGATAATAAAAATAAAACATAATTTTAAACGAAATATTGATTTTGATAATTGGTGTTTTATTCACCACGACCTTTCGCTGATAATTAAAAAAAATAATGGGCACAACTTAGAGTTTTTACACAAGCCTTGTGCATCATGACAGTCCTCAAGAATGCGGTGTTAGGCGCCAGCCTATCCACTAGAATTTGGGCCTGCAACTCTAACATAGGTCAGGTGATGCTGCGTCTCTAATATCGGTGTTTCTTCTGCAGAATCTAACAAGTGTGACGCTGCTCTGGGCCTCGCAGATGGCACCATTCCTGACTCCAGCTTCACGTAAGTAATATACATATATATATATATATATATATATATATATATATATATATTATATATATATATATATAATATATATATCCTTGAAAAGTTTTATTTCTTTTACAGAAAATAAATATTGTATATAGTAATTATTATTCATCGAAATAATTATTATTAATTGTTTTATAGCTAAAAGTTTCTTTGTACATTGCAGGTCGTCGGTGTCAAACAGTACCCCAGAGGAAGCTAGACTCGATGGCAATGGTTCATGGTGCTTCCTCATGCCCCTTGACCCAAGAAAAGAGGTCACCATCACCATTGACCTGGGAGAAAACAGACTCGTCTCTGGTAGGTCCCGTATTTACCTGCAGTCCTTGATAAATTTGGAGGGTTGAGCTAAAGTTCTTGGCTCCTTGTTTTAACCTGCTCGTCTTTTGTTTTAAATTCGCAAAGGGTTCTAAAGCTTCTATTAAGTTCATCTCTGGTTCACTCCACTTCTTATGCACCTTGACGCTGGGTGTATAATTCCTTACATCTGTGTTTTTCACCCCGGTGTTCTGTTTCCATCTGTCTCCTCGTCTCGTTCCCTGTCATCTGTGTTTCCTCGTCTTGGTTCCTGTCTCCTGTCTCCTCGTCTCGTTCCCTGTCATCTGTCTCCTCATCTTGGTTCCTGTCATCTGTTTTTTGCTGTTTTCACCTCATACTCATCACATTTGTGTCATTAACCTCTCTTTTTACCTTCTGTACGTTCACGTTTCATAAATCCTCTGTTACCCTTAGTACCTACAATGGGAACCTTTATTCTGATTTATATTGTAACGTACCAGACATTAACAGTTAGGTAGCATGTCTGGCTCATGCATAACACAGGACTGAACCTCCGCTTCTGTTTGTGTTTAAGGACCACACTATTCACCTTTAGTTCTCCGCATAAATAACGGTAGTTATAACAACAATAAAGTTAATAATACACTGTGACGTGTTATTGTTGCAGGCGTGCAAACGCAGGGCCCGCCTCTCAGCCTCTACAATAAGACTTACTACTACCACATTGGCTTCAAACTCCTCAGTTCCACTAACGCAGACGCTGAAGAATGGGTAACCTGCTGCGACCGTGACATGCAGGTGAGTAGCAGGGTGGTAGATAGCATAATCTTTACATGTAAAACACTTTAAAAATAGGTACATAATCTGTGCACTAAAGTTATAACTTACTGGCGTGAGAGAAACAGAGGAAGTGCGATACAAGCTTAATGATAGGTAGAGATACCCATAGTACTATTAAAGAATTCTTAACATCCGTTGCCCAAAGCATATAAAAGAGTACTTACTGGTATAAAAGTAGAACTCTAGCGGAAAGTAAACAAATTCCTGAAGGAGGAAGTTCATCAACCAGGCTGTGTTGGCTATAACAGGCTGCGGACTGCAGATAGTAATTACATGCTTCGTCAGGCAGTCGCTAGTAAAATCTGGCCACGGACCGGGTTGCGAGAGTGGCAAAACTTTAAACCTTTTTTAAGTAAGTCCTTTCATTTTACACTTAAGTGAATGAAACAGACCCATTTGCTATAAATGTTAAATCATGGAGTTGGAAAAAGAAGGCATTCTTTGGATTAGTAACCCAAAAGTTATTAACCCAAGAAAACCAGTCTTTTCCTAGGCGAGACACACATCAATCGACTAACACCTGGAAACTTATTTACCGCTAAGCGGACAAAGATAGCAGCAGTAAGGAGACTTGTCTATACGTCTCAATCCATCAGTGAATCAAACTCACGTCCTTTTAGTCGTGAGTAGAAAGTTCTAACACTGCTACTGTGCAGGACCCTTAATATCACTCTTCTCACAGTTCCTAGTTGCTGGTGCCGCGGGGGCGTTAATCCCCAGAAGCATCCTTCACGTACCCATCAGATAACCTTACCTTGTTTCCACAGTTCCTGGCTGCTGGTGCCGCGGGGACGTTGACCCCCAAGAAGCATTCTTCAGGTCCCATCAGATAACCTTACCTTGTTGTTCCCACAGTTCCTGGCTGTTGGTGCCGCGGGGGCGTTGAGCCCCCCAGAAGCATTCTTCAGGTACTTATCAGATAACCTTCTTCCTACCTTGGTGTTTCCACAGTTCCTGGCTAGTGATTCCCTGACGCAGGCCAACGTGATCACTACCCACCCGCTGCCTTCGCTGCTGCTGGTGCGTCATCTTCGCTTCCGCTTCATCACAGACATCCGCTCCATCGGCAACAGCACCAAGTGTCTCAGACTCGAAGTGCTGGGCTGTCCTCGAGGTCTGTCCAGCACGCTGCTTACATTAATCCTTAGTTGTAGTTGTTGGAAGACGCAGTCGTTATAATAGTGATATTATTAGTTGTATTAGTAGCAATAGTTGTTGAAATTTTATAAGAAATATAATAGTTTTACTAGTAGCAGCAGCAGTAGTAATAATAGTGGTCGTAGCAACAGGGTCAGTAGTATTAGTAGTAGTAGTAATAGTACAATAGCTATAGAAGCAGTAATAATAGCAGCAGCAGTAGTAATAGTAGTAGTACAGTAGTTTTAGTAGCAGCTGTAGTAGCAATAGTGTAACTGTACTAATAGTACGTATAAGCAGAGGTAATAGTAGTAGTAGTATCAGTAGTGGTAATAGTATACTTTCTCTTCAGTCGCCTTCCTTCAACATTGCTATAACATGCTGGGTATTTATAAACGATCAAAACACCTTATAATTAAGGCCAATAGTATTTTACACAAGAAGAACTTTTACTGCATTTGGGCAATGATAACTAGCACGGGGAGTGAATGATAACTTCTAAATGCGGTAATAACAAGAGTTGATGTGGAGTGCGGGTTTAAACTAGTTGAGTTCAAATATGGGGTCCTATTGCGATGTTCACTCACTGGATGAGTCGTACTGACCTAATACTTTTCACCGTTCATCTGGGGTATATTTCTCACAGATGATAACGTTTCATAATAAATTCATCGTCTCACCTTTGTTTTCTTAATCAGGGACAGTGATGGTCGCTCCATATTTTTCAGGGGAATAACTGCAATTTAACCATTTTAGGGGGCATTAGTTTCCAAGCACTTGCACGATTTTCTCCACCTTCAGATTACGGTGAGAGATCAAAAACCGCAGGAATTGAATTCCCCTTTCCAAAGTAGTCAATTACATTTTAGACATCACTTTTTTCTCGTGATCTTGTTTCAGAATATAAAACCCTCAATACCCACTATAAATTTTTTAACCCTCTTTCTGCATCTGATCGTTTTTTCCGCCCAGGGACACAAACGACCGGGGAGGGGGAACCCTAAACCAGTGTAATTTGGGAGGGGGACCCATGGATGGGGGGGCATGGGGGAACTTCCTCTGGTCCTGAGCCCTACAGACGGCTCTCTCACCGAAGTAAACCCTTTCTGCCTCAAATTACATTGTGGTGGATGACCACATTGATTATTTTTACTCCACAGTGAATTTTTAAATTTTAATTTTATTATTATATTATTATTTTTAAATTTTATTATTATTTTTTATTATTTTTACTTTTGTCGTTACTGTAAATTTTAATATATAAAAAATACGGGGGAATGAAGCCCAGGAACTTTACCTTTTGGTGATTTTTTTTTTCATTCATTTTCTGAATTGCTAACCGGGGTTTTTTACTCGTGGACTCCTGAACCTTTATAAACCTTACCATTTTTAGCCCAAAATTCGCCTGGTTTCATGTCTCATCTAAACTTACAAACATTCTCTAATTTAAAACTTTCTACAAAGCCTCGGGGTTTTCTTGCTGAACCTCCACTCGATTTAACTTTCCGAACCTTGACCTCTGACACCTACCCTTTCCTTTTTTGCTCTTTTCTTAAACCCTTCATTGTACCTTGACTCATTTTTTTTTAACGGTACATCTTTTCTATTAGGGGTGACCCTTGATTTTTCCCCACAATTCAGTTGCACCCTAGCGGCGGGGTGGGGGGGAAGGGCTGGGGGTGGAGACCAAGTGCAACTCTTCGCTACTGAGGCCAGCACCATGGGAGCCATGTATGTTGTTCTTCCCCTTTTACACAAACACGCACACACACACACACAACACACAAAGGCACAATTGAAGTTGAAGACTCAGATGAATCAAAGGGGTGTTAGGAAGTATTTCTTTACATAGATAGTCAAGCTGGAAAGCCTAGAAAGTGAAGTAGTGGAGGCGGGAACCAACTAGTTTTAAGGCGAGGTATGAAAACCAGGGCAGAAGAGAGGACCTAGTAGCAACAGTGAAGAGGCGGGCCAAGCTGTGACCACCCCTGCAACCACAAATAGGGAGTCAAAAAGGGAGTACACACAAAACACACCCCACAACACCAAATTAGTTAATACATCGCTTCACTAAATAAAACAAAGTCACGCGTGTTTTCTTACAAAATTTATAAAAAAAGAAAAGTATTTTGTGTTTTACTTGCGTAAATATGCAATTTCCAAATTAAAACGCGTTCCTAGTGTAAATGAAATTACCTGAGGCACCCCCACCATCGTAGTCCTCGGGTCACGGTAAAAACACCTAGTTTCTGGTGGCAGACTTGTAGGGTTAGGGAGTCCTGTGGTTGAGCGCGGGGGTTTTCGCTTCCCCAGAGGGGCCAAAAAAAACACGGTTCGAGTCCTCACTGTCGCAGTGTTTTTATTATTGATTAAAAACCCCTCTTCGTGGTTACAAAAAAAAAAAAATAAAATATTTTTTTATATTTTTTTTAAAAAAAAAAAGTGGGGTTTAAATTCATCGGAAAGAAAAGGATAAAGTGAATGATGAAATTTTTTTCTTTTGGGGCCACCCCCCTTTGGTGGAATCGGCCGAGTGTTTAAAAAATAAATAAATAAATAAATAAATAAAAAAAAAATATATATTTTTAAAATAATTAAAAATATATTTTTCCTTTAAAAGAAAAAAGCAAAAATTTTTTTATCTGGCGTACTTTCCAACTGGAAAAATTTTTCAAGTGGGTATTTGTTTCACGTCTTTTTTTACCTCGATTAGGGTTAAACTTTTGATGCACACAACATTAATAAAACTTCACATTTGGGTCACTGTGTCTCTGGAGAGCATTCCTTCTGCCGTTTGAAATGGAAAACGGGTAAAATAACAACTGACTTAAAAAACATATTTGTTAACATGAACATTTGAAAACAAAGGGTCAAAGTATTTTTTTTAAGGGTGCCCGGGTCCCAGACGCAAAATTGCGGGCCCCAAATGAAAATTTGTTACTATTTTTTAGACACACAATATATGTGGCAGTAAAAATTGAAAATGACAGATCTAACGCGGTGTGTGTGGTGTGTTGAGTGCTGTTAGTATTTACGGGATGGTTTTAACGACGCAGTGAAAACAGCTCCCACGTATATCTTACATCTTTATTATTTGTTTTTCCGATTCTTTTTTAACCTCCGTAACAACTCTTAAACAAAACCCCCATATTAAATTACCAAATTTCAAAAACCACCCAGCCACAAAATGAATGCTATAAATGGTACCTCGGGACTTTCAAGCACCTTTTTTTATCCCGGGGTGCTGAATAAGGGGAACCACACCCAAACGACTAGATATCGGGGCTCGGGTGAAGACATCAAAGATCTTGACGCTGTGAAACCGTGTCACCTGGTTTTACTACCCCGAGAAAGCATCCCAGTGGGAGCTTCCTTTTGGGGAGGGTGGGGACCTAAAACAAGAGGACAACTAAAGTAATTAATGACCATGCTACTGAACTGGTCCTACCCACTCTCAATCTTTTGGCTCGTTTCAGTGTCACTTTTTCATTGACATTGCTTGGTCTCTCACACACTCCTGATGCCTTTCAGTGCTCTCTTCACGTCAGGGGTTTGGGGGAATTTTCCACTCGTTCTCACTTTTTGGCCAAAAATGCTCCCCATTTCTTTTCTAAATATAAAGTTATTTTAAACTTTCTAAGTAGGGGTAGTAAGGGGGTTTTTTGTTGTAGTGTGTTGCGGGTAAAACGTGCCGGGTTTGTATCAAGGCATCAACAGAGGGTTGGTCAAAAAACTTGAGGCAGCCCTGGAGTGGGGTGACTGGGAGTTTTTACCTCATTTCCAGAAGAAAGGGTGGTCCTGTGTTCCCCCAGGAAGGATCTGACCCATGTGAGCCCCCCATTTCTTACGTGAACTCATAGGATCAATATAGTTATTTACAGGACGCTAAATCAGTGGGTCATTCATTGAAAGGGAGTGAGGGGCTCGACCTCCGTCACTTCCTAGTTAATGTGGTGATCCCCTGAAAATCATTTAACTTTTTATCAAAAAAAAATTTCAGTTTATTGTAATAAATTCTGGGCAGAAGTGGATCTTTAACAAACGGTTTGAGAGCCAAACGGAGGGAATTTATGGAAAAATCGGAACATTTACAGTCACCCACGCGTGTAAGGAATTGAAGTCACAAACAGCTATGAGGGTCCCGCACTTTCCTGATCCCGATCTTCACACCCAAAAAGTGAAAATAGACTTGCACAAAGTTTTTTTATTTTTCCCTCTGCTTTATCGGAGTAAAGTTTCCACATATATAACAAAAAAGAATATTTTTAACAACTACAAACATTTTATTTTTTCAACTTGTCAGCTGAAATACCCCCTTTAAAAAAAAATACAGTTCATTAGTAATAAAAATCTCATAAAACCACGAAATTTAAGCAAAACCCTAAATAATCACCATAAAATGACCAAACTCTATCTATACTAGAGTCTAACAATAAAATACATGAAAATAATTTGAGGGGAGGGTGAAGTTCATTTTACAGAAGCTAGGCTTGTTGGAGAAACCATTTAATTTTTAACGCACTTCCCAAAAAATAAAAACACATGAACAGTAGGGGTTTTTGACCATGAAATTAAAACTTTTTTTAAATTTTTGCTTTTTGAATTTTTTTTACGTTGAGTAAAGTCAGTGATAATATTTACTGGAGGGTTTTAATAAAATTTTTTGGAATTTATGGTGTATTTTTATGATTGATTTTTATTCTCTTGAAGCCTCGGTTAATTTTTAAACAAGACGGAATTTACGAAAAAAAGATAACCAAAAATTCGATACATCATATAATTTCGACAACGGAATATTATGATGTATGACAGTACTGTGAAAATTAAAAATAATGTGCTATGAAAGATTAAAATATATAAGAATATTGTGTGGTTCAGGGAAAAAGGGTTTGTTGAAAATTTAGTTCTGGGACCTGGGAAATACAGACCTGCACCTGTGAAACGTAATTGAATGAAAAAGGTGAAATGCATCTTTTTTTTGGGGACCCCATGGGGGCGGGGCCGGGTGTGTTAAAAAAATTTTCTAAAATCAAATATTCTATGAATTTTTAGTTGTGGAGGAAAAGGGCTTAAGGCCTATTTAAAAAAGGGTTTGGGGGGTTCAGTTTCAAGGGTCAAATTTAATTGTGATGACCTTGCCCTTCTGGGAGACACTACTGAAAGAACATGGGAAAAGGGGGGGGTTTCCTTTTTGGGGCCGCTTCACAGGTGGAAAAAATTAAATTAGTAATAAAAACTAACTATAAATAAAAAAATGCTAAAAAATCACATTAAATAAATGTAATGGTGTGTGGTTATGGGTTTCCCCCCGTCGAAGCTGCAAGCGGCGGGGGTGGGGGAGGAGGGGGTTTTTACTGACTGGTACGACGCCATGGCTGGCCACTCCCCCCAAGGCTCTTTGCATCCCCACAAGGCGCAACACACTAAAGAGAAGATCCCGACCAAAAAAAATTCACTGCCGTCTTCCCGTTTTTCCCAAATTTTTGACAGGCACTAACCATTTTGTAAAAAAAAGATATTTATATTTGGGTTTAATTTTCAAATTCATCAATCCATAGAGAAAAAAAAAAGAAAATAATTACGATAAAACTCACTTCTCTAAAAAATATTAAGCATTTTGAATAATACATTTTCCTATTTTTTTTTATGGCTTTAATCTATATTTCTAGCGCTTCTTTTTGATTATAATAAAAAATTGCTTTAAAACCTAATATTCACGTTAAAAACCGGTTTTATATTGTTTTTTTTATTTTTTAAAAGAAAAATAATTTGATAAAATTTTCTAACAAAATTATTTTAAATTTCACATCTAAATCAAAATACTTTAATTAGCTTAAATCAGAAAGAAATTTAATTTCGAGTTATAAGGATTTTTTGCTATTTTTTTTTATCACACCTTTTAAATAGTTGGCAAATGTGAAAATCATAAAAAACCCCTTTTGGGTACACAAAACCGATAACTATAAAAAAAATTTTCGTTTTTCACCTCCATCCGGTGTGTACTACTTGTGTCTGCCTCGCGGTCTCAACTTCCACCTGTACAGGACAACAGAACCATCATGTCAGGAGTGGAAGAAGGCAATGTGTACACCGTGTCCTTCCTCCCTCAGGCTGGCACTCAACGCCTCGCCAAGTTCGACTTTGAGCTCTATATAAGTAAGTGGGGAGTTTCCTGGAGTGGAAGAGTGGGTGGTGCGTTATGTTGCGATGTGATCTGTCAGTTTGCCAAATAAATTTCAAGTGTTTTCGGGGGTGTCTCAGTCACATCCTCAAGAAACAGGGTGATGGTTAATAACATTAAGTGGCCTATATGTTAAGATTATACAAGAATAATTCCGTCACCGAATGATCTGACTTGGTCATTATGACTAAGTCAGTTCAGGTCACTCAAATGCAACATCAGCATTGAATAGATCTGCAACATATTTTATTAATGATAAATACATTCAGCTTATAAAGCCCCGGACTGATGTTCAAATTATAATCGTCACTAGTTGTTATACAGATCTGATTAAGATTTAATTTTCTTAGTTTTTCACTAATCAAATTATTAAAATCTCCTACATGAATAAGCAGAACATCTGAATTCATATCAGATTTAATTTTATATTTGTGTTAATAAAAATTAAATCTAAGCTTTCATTATTACTAGACTATGACTGTTTCCTTTATTGACATCATCAATTTTATCTTGCTAGTCGCGTGGGCTGACGTGAAACTCTCCCCGCTGAACACCGGCTACGGTGCCTTCGTAGCCAATGTGGAACTGGCAGCGGACATCATCTGGAACGGCACTCTGAGACTGACGTGGGTTCCGGCAAATGTAGTCGGTGTGTACCTTGACAAGAATACAGCAGCTTCCACCGGTGGTGACGAAATTGACGCGGCGCAGTACGAGGAGGCGGCGTCGGCTGGAGGTACCGCAGGGTGGTCGTTTGGGGTCGCTGCACCAGCTCCTAGAAAGGACGTGAACTCCACGCCGGAGGACGCTGCATGGGATGCAGATAACACCACAGAAGGCAGTGGGACAACGGAAAGCGTCGGCATTACATCTGAAGACGACATCGTGGAGGAGGAGGAGAGAGGAATCACTATCATGGGAAGTGCGCAGGAATCCCCAGCCTCGGGGGTCAGAGTCGAGGGCACAGCCTTCATGTACACAGTGGTGGTGACTGCGGAGGGCGTTGGTAAGCATTTTCATCTATCTTTTGGGGGATTAACTAGCCACAATACCTACGAACTATCTAAAACTGGCCAAAACATATCCTCTTGAATTAGTTGGAAATAAATCAGAACATTAACGAAACGATTTAAAATACCTATAACAAGAAACACAACCAAAATTAAGTTACAAAAACTGTGTAGTACCAGCCAGCCACAATTTCTAAAATAAATTGTTATTGTATTGTTTACCCGAAGCTTTAAGTAGCCAAAAAAAATCATGCTTCCTAAAACTACTAAAATAAAATACTTGTAAGAATTCACGATTATATTTTGTAGAGGACTGGAGTGAGAATGTTACGGAGGGCAGCAGTATGATGGTACGCAGACCTGTTGGCGACGAGGAGCAGGGTGAGGTTTTGATGGGTGTGGAGATGCCGCAGCTAACTTTTCTCACCGAGTACCAGGTCAACCTTACCTGCCACTTCGGCCCCGTCACCGTCCAGTGTGGCACCACCAAAACATACACAGGTAAGGCTTCTTCGTCTTTCTCCAGCGTGAATAACACTTGTTGACAAGGAATATGGAGGAAACCGAACTCGTGACCAGCAATATCTCGGTTACACACATAATATCCTTAACACACATAATATCCTTATTTTGTAAATGGAGATTTGTGCTTCAGTTGAATAGTACGAAAATCCTGTTAAAACAGTAGTACTTCCGGGCACTATAGGTAGTGTAACTAGAATATTATTGATTGCAGATGACATTCCTGCATTAATCCTCAATTTATAAAATGTGTAATTTCCTATACGGTGCAATAATCGCGAACAAGCGATACAATATGCAAAACAACCGCAGGGAAATTGAATGAACACAAAAGGCCTAGAGCTGTCATTCAACTCCCCCCGTTGCTATACGGTATTTGAAGCATTTTCAGAGGTTGTAGCACACCACGTCTTTTCTCGGAATAAGACACACGTTTTGCCAACCAATGACTTATCAGTTTACTATAGAGGTGACGAAACTGGAGACAGTACATGAGGTGATGTATAATTCTGCAGCACAGATCACCTCATCCTCTGTTGTCTTCAGTTTAATCACCTTCAGATAACCTTTGTCCAGGTTTGTGAAACATCTTCAACTGAAGATACCCAGGTGTTGCACGTGTCTGATTCCAGAAGTTATTTTGTCTTTTAGTATTGAATGAGCCTCAAAACTCCATAAATGTATGCCAGATTTCCGACATTACCCTAACTCCGATAGATTTCGAAAAAGCCATTGACAACATGCCTATGCACTCAGCCCCGGGCCCAGACTCGTGGAACTCTGTTTTCATTAAGAACTGCAAGAAACCCCTCTCGCGTGCCCTAAGTACACTATGGAGGAGGAGCTTGGACATGGGTGAAATTCCACAGTCACTTAAAACAACGGATATAGCCCCACTCCATAAAGGTGGCAGCAAAGCATTAGCTAAGAACTATAGACCAATAGCTCTGACGTCCCACATCATAAAAATCTTTGAAAGAGTGCTAAGAAGCAGGATTGCAAATCACCTGGATTCCCAAAATCTGCACAATCCAGGGCAACATGGGTTCAGGGCAGGTCGCTCCTCCCTCTCACAACTACTGGATCACTATGACATGGCCTTGGATGCACTGGAAGAAAATCAGAATGCAGATGTAATATACACAGACTTTGCAAAAGCATTTGACAAATGCGATCATGGCGTAATAGCCCATAAAATACGTGCTAAAGGAATAACTGGGAAAGTGGTGAGATGGATCTTCAACTTCCTAACAAATCGAACACAGAGTAGTGGTCAACAGAGTTAAATCGGAGGCTGCCATAGTGAAGAGCTCTGTTCCACAAGGCACAGTACTCGCCCCCATCTTATTCCTTATTCTCATATCAGACATAGACAGAGATATACACCACAGCACCGTATCATCCTTTGCGGATGATACTAGGTTCTGCATGAGGCTGTCATCTGCTGAGGACGCGGTTAACCTCCAAGAAGATATAAACAAAGTTTTCCAGTGGGCAACGGTAAACAATATGATGTTCACTGAGGACAAATTCCAACTACTCCGTTATGGAAAACTGGAGGAGATAATAACTAGAACAGAGTATACTACTGACTCCTGCCATACAATAGAGCGGAAAAATAATGCAAGGGACCTGGGAGTAGTAATGTCTGAGGATCTCACTTTCAAGGATCACAACAGTGCCACGATCGCACGTGCAAAGAAAATGATAGGATGGATAATGAGAACTTTCAAAACGAGAGATGCCAAGCCCATGATGATCCTTTTCAAATCACTTGTTCTCTCTAGGCTGGAATACTGCTGTACATTAACATCTCCATTCAAAGCAGGTGAAATCGCAGGTCTAGAGAGTGTACAGAGATCCTTTACTGCACGTATAAGTTCTGTCAAGCACCTTAACTACTGGGAACGCTTGGAAGCACTTGACTTGTACTCGTTGGAACGCAGGAGGGAGAGATATATCATAATCTACACTTGGAAAATCTTGGAAGGAATGGTCCCAAATCTGCACACAGAAATCACTCCCTACGAAAGTAAAAGACTGGGCAGGCGATGCAAAATGCCCCCAATAAAAAGTAGGGGAGCCATTGGTACACTAAGGGAAAACACCATAAGTGTCCGGGGCCCAAAACTGTTCAACAGCCTCCCATCAAGCATTAGGGGAATTGCCAATAAGCCCCTGGCTGCCTTCAAGAGAGAGCTGGACAGATACCTAAAGTCAGTGCCGGATCAGCCGGGCTGTGGCTCGTACGTTGGACTGCGTGCGGCCAGCAGTAACAGCCTAGTTGATCAGGCCCTGATCCATCGGGAGGCCTGGTCATGGACCGGGCCGCGGGGGCGTTGATCCCCGGAATAACCTCCAGGTAACCTCCAGGTAACCAGGTACACACCTTCAGACTTCTATTCAAACAATGTTTCTTTATGAACTGTTATATACAATAGATTCAGTCACCGTGCTCCTGGATTTCATCTTATTTTCAATTTTATATCTTGGGTATGTCATATTAATATTTAAATATTATAATGTCTGCACAGGAAACTAACCGTTACTTAAAAACGCAATATAGATTTAATCAAATTGTAAAGGAATGCAGTGATTAACTTAATAATAATGTCACTTTTGGCGCTTCTTAACTGAGGTTATCTGCAGAGAGTCTGTTGGGCCAGGGTGTAGGGTTCGTTGCGTAGTGCGATCACCTTAGCACACTGCTTGTTGCTTTAATTAACATCTGTCTCCTCTTTGTGGTCATTGTTGCAGCCACCACTGAACAGTTGACGTAGCTGCGGAGGTCACAATGGATTTTCATTAGATCACAGTGAATAAATGAATTTACCTTACCTACTTCTGTTCCCCGTTTGCCTCTTCGATTTACTCCCGTCTACTCTTCGTTCTTCAGCATCCCTTTCATCGCCCCTCCCCACTCTACCCCTGTCTTTTCCGCCAGCTCTACCGCTGCTGCTGACGAAGATGGATGGGATGACTGTGGTGTACACAGTGTTAGAGGGTCGTGCTGGGTGGCAGCAGCAGGAGGCACGATGTCATCGAGGTGAGGGCACCCTCGTCTCTCTCCCAACGCACTATGAGGCAGACCTCCTTCGTGACGCCCTCCTCAAGACCTCCTCAGTACCACTCCTTGACACCTACTGGCTGGGGCTCAACATGTGTCCAGATTATACAGGTGAGGCTCCCATGTTTTGTCCTATTATACATATGAAGCACCTGTGTTACGTTCAAATTATACTGGTGGAACTCATGTATTGCGTTCACATTATGCAGGTAATGGTTATTACGAACACAGATACAAATGAAAGGTCTGTAGTGCCTGGCCTTAAGTTAAGTCATCTGTATGATGTCCACCACCAACATTTACAATATGTACATAGTGTAATAGAGCAGCAATGTGGGCAGTTACCATACCATTTTGGTCATTTGAAGAAAGCATTTTATTTTGATATTGATAAGTAAGTGCTAACCTGCATGGGTCATACACCACCTTTTTTCCCTTGGAAGACAGATGGCATTTCGTTCCTCGGGAAAATATGATAAAACGCAAACTGGAGCTTTTGGTCATGTGACCGAGGCCTTCCTTTGGTTAGTAAATTTATTTAGGTACAGGTACACGTAAGTACAATTATCAAACATGAGGCTAACTCGAAAAAGTCAAAAGTGACTTATTTTCATTGAGGTCCTCGTTATTTCCATTGAGGTCCTTGTTATTTCCATTATGGTTCTTGAGGTTAAAAATTAAAGCTCATGTGTTATTGTTTGTAAGATACAGTTTGTGAGTGTATGTTGCAGGCAGCGTGTGGAGCGACGGGTCCATCTGGCACGAGTCACTCTTGTCGTCGACCAACGCACAGCTCTCCAGCACCACCTGCTGTGTCAAGGCCAACTGGGACAAGTACCAGTACATCTGGACCGGGGAGGTGTGTGGGGCCCTCCTCCCAGCTGTCTGCGAGTTTCATCCACATGGTACAACTATTTTTTTTATATTCTCTGCTAAGAGTTGGATGACTCTTCTTGTATAACTTCGAGTTTGCCGGCGACTCTTTGTTGGTCACCAGATTTTGTAAAATTTGTATTTATAGATTTTTTTTTTATATGTAAAAGTGTTTTGCACTTTTCTCATAATGTGATAGTTTAAGTTAATGACTGTATTTTGCACATTAAGGAAACCTATGCTGTATAAGGTAACATATATATATATATATATATATATATTATATATATATATATATATATATATATATATATATATATATATATATATATTATATATATATTTATATATATATATATATTTATATATATATTTATATATATTTATATATTTATATATATATTTATATATATTTATATATATATATATATTGTTTACATTGAAGCATATATGTGAACAGTATTTAGATAAAGATAGGGAAGTTTTTATTGCATTTATGGATTTAGAAAAGGCATATGATAGAGTGGATAGAGGAGCAATGTGGCAGATGTTGCAAGTATATGGAATAGGTGGTAAGTTATTAAATGCTGTAAAGAGTTTTTATGAGGATAGTGAGGCTCAGGTTAGGGTGTGTAGAAGAGAGGGAGACTACTTCCCGGTAAAAGTAGGTCTTAGACAGGGATGTGTAATGTCACCATGGTTGTTTAATATATTTATAGATGGGTTGTAAAGGAAGTAAATGCTAGGGTTTTGGGAGAGGGGTGGGATTAAATTATGGGGAATCAAATTCAAAATGGGAATTGACACAGTTACTTTTTTGCTGATGATACTGTGCTTATGGGAGATTCTAAAGAAAAATTGCAAAGGTTAGTGGATGAGTTTGGGAATGTGTGTAAAGGTAGAAAGTTGAAAGTGAACATAGAAAAGAGTAAGGTGATGAGGGTGTCAAATGATTTAGATAAAGAAAAATTGGATATCAAATTGGGGAGGAGGAGTATGGAAGAAGTGAATGTTTTCAGATACTTGGGAGTTGACGTGTCGGCGGATGGATTTATGAAGGATGAGGTTAATCATAGAATTGATGAGGGAAAAAAGGTGAGTGGTGCGTTGAGGTATATGTGGAGTCAAAAAACGTTATCTATGGAGGCAAAGAAGGGAATGTATGAAAGTATAGTAGTACCAACACTCTTATATGGGTGTGAAGCTTGGGTGGTAAATGCAGCAGCGAGGAGACGGTTGGAGGCAGCGGAGATGTCCTGTTTAAGGGCAATGTGTGGTGTAAATATTATGCAGAAAATTCGGAGTGTGGAAATTAGGAGAAGGTGTGGAGTTAATAAAAGTATTAGTCAGAGGGCAGAAGAGGGGTTGTTGAGGTGGTTTGGTCATTTAGAGAGAATGGATCACAGTAGAATGACATGGAAAGCATATAAATCTATAGGGGGAAGGAAGGCGGGGTAGGGGTCGTCCTCGAAAGGGTTGGAGAGAGGGGGTAAAGGAGGTTTTGTGGGTAAGGGGCTTGGACTTCCAGCAAGCGTGCGTGAGCGTGTTAGATAGGAGTGAATGGAGACGAATGGTACTTGGGACCTGACGATCTGTTGGAGTGTGAGCAGGGTAATATTTAGTGAAGGGATTCAGGGAAACCGGTTTATTTTCATATAGTCGGACTTGAGTCCTGGAAATGGGAAGTACAATGCCTGCACTTTAAAGGAGGGGTTTGGGATATTGGCAGTTTGGAGGGATATGTTGTGTATCTTTATATGTTTATGCTTCTAGACTGTTGTATTCTGAGCACCTCTGCAAAAACAGTGATAATGTGCGAGTGTGGTGAAAGTGTTGAATGATGATGAAAGTATTTTCTTTTTGGGGATTTTCTTTCTTTTTTGGGTCACCCTGCCTCGGTGGGAGACGGCCGACTTGTTGAAAAAAAAAAAAAAAAAAAAAAAAAAAAAAAAAAAAAAAAAATATATATATATATATATATATATATATATATATATATATATATATATATATAATATATATATATATACTAGGCAGACAGCAGCAGATATGGTTTATCAGTTTAATGTAGACTCAGGTGACTACTTGTCTGGTTAAGGTATGGTGGAGGTGGTAAAGGATCTGAAGAGGGGTCCAGCTAACGTGACCTCTGCCAGCGTCTCGTGGACCTATATGGGTATATTCTGGACGCCAGACATTCTCCTCGTCTCCTACTGCCCCTTCAGGAACCTCAAGAACATTCTTACTGACGCTGGCAATATCTCGAAATCGTGAGTTGTTATAGATTACTCGTTTGTGGCTAGAGCAACAGTGTTCCTATGTTCCATTTTCTGCGTTTAATTTGTCAGATATTTGTTAAACGTTTTCAGTGGCTGCAGGACTTACGACCTCCGAATAACATCCAAGAAGGCTATCACTCTATAAAGAAATGTTTACTGATATCCCTCCCTTTCCCCTCCGGAGTACCTGTACTCTGAAGAAGGATTGGCGATTTTGCAGATCGGAGGGCCATTTGAACGGTGATATCATAACGCTTCTAGCAAGACTGTGATTGATTATGGGACTGTGAAAATGTTTCTTCTTTTTCGGGTTACCCTACTAAGGTGGGAAATGGCCTGTTTGTTAGAAGAATAATTTTGACACCTTTCTTAGTTCACAATTGTAGTCACTTTTTTTTCTCCCTGTTGCTTGTGCTAAACTGTATTCTTCATCAAGCTTCTCGTGTAACATTTTGATATCAAATTAAGTTATTCTGCTATCATACTTTTTCTGTTTTATTAATGTGTGTGTGTGTGTGTGTGTGTGTATGTGTGTATGTATTGCGCATCATTATTCGTAACACTAACATGCCCAAGTGTTCTTGAGCAAGACACCTGCCGTAGTCTCGTGGTTATTGTTACAGGTGCCACACCAGTCAGCTGGAGGCGGCAGCAGTAGACCTCCTGCAGACGGGATTACTGCCTTACACTGAGTACTACGTCAATGTTACTGCAACCATCCAGCAAATTGGTTTTACCGGAGCAGCAGTCAGCACCTATGTTAGAACCTGTGAGTACAGTGGAGAAAGGGAGAGAGAGAGAGAGAGAGAGAGAGAGAGAGAGAGAGAGAGAGAGAGAGAGAGAGAGAGAGAGAGAGAGAGAGAGAGAGAGAGAAAGTGAGAAAGTGTGTGTGTGTGTGTGTGTGTGTGTGTACATATACCATATATTAAAGTGTCATTGAATTTGCACAGCCTTGTCAATACACACCAAACACCACAGAAAGGTTTGCTTTAGCATACCTCAATTTGTGACTTCTGACGGAGAAGTCTTCCATGTGTGATCTCTGACTGTGATTCTTGAACCCACAGACCCTCAACAGCCTGTGGTGGTCTCCATCGACACTGATGGCTACGTCAACATCGTTTGGGCACAAAAGGTACACCGAACTCTGTAGTTATAAGAATTATGATTATTTTTAATTGTTAGTGTATAGTTCAATAATCTTGCATTCGGTAGGCCTTAAACCCAACAAAAAAAAGGGGTAGCTAAGCAATTCACTCTCTCTGTGAGAGTTAAGTGATATTTTTCATTCTACTCAGGTGGCAGAATTCGGGGAGAACGACACGGTATGGGTTACCATGAGCAACTCCACACACCCGGATGTGATCATGTACAACGGCACCATGATGGCATCAGGTACCATACTGGGAGACATGAAGCTGCAGCTGGGAGCCAACTATACCGTTATTCTGAAGGAAATGTACGGCAAGAAGCGCAAAGAGACAGTCACCCTGCTGGCATGTAAGCTTTATGTTGGGTCGTGTGTACATCGTGATTGGTAGCATTAGGTTGGTCTGTAAACTTTGTGTTGGGTCGTGTGTACATCGTCAATGGCAGTATTAGGCTGGTCTGTGAGTTTGTGTTGGGTCGTGTGTACATCGTGAGGGGTAGTATTAGGTTGGTCTGTAAACTTTGTGTTGGGTCGTGTGTACATCGTCAGGGGTAGTATTAGGCTGGTCTGAGAGTTTGTGTTGGTCGTGTGTACATCGTCAGGGGTAGTATTAGGCTCGTCTGTAAGCTTTATGTTGAGTCGTGTGTATATTGTGAGGGTAGTATTAGGCTGGTCTGTAAGCTTTATGTTGGGGCGTGCGTACATCGTGAGGGGTAGTATTAGGCTGGTCTGTAAGCTTTATGTTGGGTCGTGTGTGCATCGTGAGGGGTAGTATTAGGGTGGTCAATACATTGTGAGGGTAGTATTAGGCTGATCTGTAAGCTTTGTGTTGGGTCGTGTGTACATCGTGAGGGTAGTATTAGACTGGTCTGTAAGCTTTGTGTTGGGTCGTGTGTACATTGTGAGGGTAGTATTAGGCTGGTCTGTAAGCTTTGTGTTGGGTCGTGTGTACATCGTGAGGGTAGTATTAGGCTGAGGAATGAGACATTTGTGCAAATTTGGGATTTTTTATCGTGGAAACGTTTCGACAGCTAATGACTGAAGAAGCCACTGGCTGGCAAAATGTTTCCACAGTAAAGATTCCCAAATCTTGCTTAAGTGCCTCATTCTTCAACTTGTCAGTTTTCTGAACTATTCACATCATAGTATTAGTCTGCACTGTATACAGAGTTTACGATGCAACAACAGGAATCTATTACTGGTTGTTATTTGCGAACTAATCATAATATGCATCAAAAACTTGACAAAAATTAATAAAAGGCAGCGAGCCTCATATGAATACATTTAAGTTACGTGTTGTGATAATGAGTAGCATCCTGATATTTATTCTACATACAAGAATTGTGGCTATTGCATATTACCAAATCTCAATACATAGGTATCTCAAAAAACATTGATGCGTACGTTAAGATTGTAAATATGTGCCGTTATATACATATTGTTGTAATACGTATTGGGACAATACGTAGGAATAAAGCACACTAATAAAATCAGACTACTGGGATGGTAAACGTAGATTACTGTGACTCAGACCCAGCGTGTGACTGTGAGGGTTGTCAGGTGGACGGTTGGTGCTTCGTGACGCTGCAGGACCCCGTCAACGAAGACACAGCCATCGAAAAGTGTAAAGGCAGTGACACCAGCTTGGCCACTGTCGGTAACGTCAGGGAGGTGGACCTGCTGCTGGACATGGCCCTCGCGCTGGATGACGACCTGTGGGTCTCTCACACTTCCAGAAGACTCCAGGCTTCCAGTAAGAACAGTTTAAGACTTCTTAGCCCAAGTGTTGACAAGTGCTGGAGGAAGAGACTTATTCATGTTCAGAAATTAGTTAATGTTAAGCTGCATGAATGAGCTGAGGAGTTGTATGAGCCTGGCAAAGAAATTACCGGTTACATTGACGGATTCATCAAATAAAATTATTTATTAGAAATGTCTATTAATTCTTCTTAAATAATTTTTAATCCATCTTAGGAGGTGCTTGAAGGAGAGAGAGAGAGAACCCTTACCCTTAAACAATTACGCTTTTGCTACAGAGAATTTAATTTGGCAAGTGTATATTTGGAGACTGGAGTGATTCATACCAAGTCAAGTGAATGACAGATACATTTCCTAGACAACAAACATAAATACATATACGAACAGACCGATAGGCGGACAAAAATATCAAGTTTACGCCATTTTATTACCTACAGATACAGAGGATGGGATGCAGGGCTTGGATAACACAACCCAAGCATCAACTGGGAAGGTTAATGTACAGCCCATAGAGTGTCTGGTGGTGTCTAGAGCGCAGCGGGCCGTGGTGGTAGAGCAGTGTACCAATACTCACAGTGTGGCCTGCAGCCACAAGATTTCAGGTGAGGGAGGAGCAGAACACAGAACGTGAGCAATGATGGTCATGAATTGCATACTCTGACATGGAGTATATGCCAGTTAGTGGCTTTAAAATGTATGTCTAGCAAAACCACCAGAATTCTACAGACATCATGCACATTCATTTTCATTCGCTCACTCACATGAACTCAGTCACACATACTTCATCAACACAGGCAGAAACATCAACTTTCCTCATCCTCTCTCAGTTACTTTACCACAATTTTTAATGCATAATTGTCCTGCACAGTGGGCAAAGCGTTCTCTAGCCTGACGACTAGCTCAGGGCCTGACTGGATCACGATGGCCTGGGACCAAGACTCCTTCAAATGGGAGGCCAAGTTCGCTGTGCGGTATCAGAGATCTAAAGAGAAGAGATACAAGAGAGCTTTACAGTGGATGTCCTTCAGCGCATCTCCAGGTGATATATCAACCCTTCACCCTCCAAGCACTAAATATCAATTTAAACTTAATCTCTCTCCGTCTGAGGTTGATTAATTAGGCTTACAGCCTATCGACTACGCGAGGGTCATTAAGGCTGCAAGTAAACCTGTACCAAAGATATTTTAAATCCTAAAATAAGGATTAGAGTAAACTATCACTATGTATACACAGATACACACGTCTCAGTTATACACATAAATCGCTCTCGGTGTATATACTCTAAGAAATACACACCACTCGGTGTATATAACCTTGCCTTCCTCAGGAAGATATAGAATTTGATATAATCTTATGATCAACTACTTAATAATTTGCTTAAAATTTTATCCATGTTATAAAAAGTATTTAATCTTATTTTATTTTTTCTGTGGTGTATTTAGTGACGGTGTCGCAACTGCTGCCTGAGACGGCCTACACCCTGGAGCTGGAGGCCGACCTCGGGGAGAACGTGCTCTCCACCTCGCAGGAGTTCGAAGTTGTCACTACCAACTTCACCGAGAAGACCGAGGACGAAACCCAGACCTCGAAGGTAAGGTACAACTTAACGTCAGTAATATTCTCGTCACCATCCTCATCGTCACTCGTTCTCCATCATCGTCACCCACTATCAGTGTCACTCGTTCTCCATCATCGTCACCCACTATCATCGTTATCCCTAAGAGATAAGATAAGATTTCGTTCGGATTTTTAACCCCGGAGGGTTAGCCACCCAGGATAACCCAAGAAAGTCAGTGCGTCATCGAGGACTGTCTAACTTATTTCCATTGTGGTCCTTAATCTTGTCCCCCAGGATGCGACCCACACCAGTCGACTAACACCCAGGTACCTATTTACTGCTAGGTGAACAGGACAACAGGTGTAAGGAAACGTGTCGAAATATTTCCACCCGCCGGGAATCGAACCCGGGCCCTCCGTGTGTGAAGCGGGAGCTTTAGCCACCAGGCCACCCTCACCGTGTTATAATGACTATATTTAAGAACGCCACTCAACCTTTAATAACACTTTTAACGATATGTTGTGATGCTTATAATGTAATTCACCTTATGATTTTCATCGTTGGTGTTGATTTCATTATCACTATAACCACTGTCATCATCATCATAAATAATGATGTCACTAATAAGAAGAGTATTAAGGTAATAATAAATATATAATAATAATAGATTAATAATATAATATGGAAGCAACATTATCGATGGAGGCAAAGAAGGGAACGTAGAAGAGTATAGTGGTACCAACACTCTTATATGGATGTGAAGCATGGGTTGTAAATGTTGCAGCGAGGAGGCGGCTGGAGGCAGTGTAGATGTCCTGTCTAAGGGCGATGTGTGGTGTAAATATGCCGAGAATTCGTAGTGTGGAAATTAGGAGGAGGTGTGGAGCTAGTAAAAGTATTAGTCAGAGGGCTGAAGAGGGGCTGTTGAGGTGGTTTGGTCATTTAGAGAGAATGGATCAAAGTAGAATGACAGGGGGAGCGTATAAATCTGTAGGGGAAGGAAGGCGGGGCAGGGGTCGTCCCCGAAAAGGTTGGAGGGAAGGGGTAAAGGAGGTTTTGTGGGCAAGGGGCTTTGACTTTCAGCAAGCGTGCGTGAGCGTGTTAAGAGTGAATGGAGACGAATGATTTTTGGGACCTGACGAGCTGTTGGAGTGTGAGCAGGGTAATATTTTGTGAAGGCATTCAGGGAAACTGGCTAGCCGGATTTGAGTCCTGAAAATGGGAAGTACAATACCTGCACTTTAAAGGAGGGGTTTGGGATATTGGCAGTCTGGAGGGACGTCTAAGCTGTCGTATCTGAGCGCCTCTGCAAAGACTGATTATGTATGAGTGATGATGAAAGTGTTGTATAATGATGAAAGTTTTTTCTTTCTTTCTTTCTGGGTCACCCTGCCTCGGTGGGAAACGACCGACGTGTTAAAAATAAGATATTGCTCGCCAACGTGTGAGTTATTTGTGTTCTGTTCCAGCGACGTAATTATGACATGTCTTCATTATCATTCATTACTCTTCTTAATATTGCTTTAATCATGCATGTGGGCATGAACATTGTTGGTGATGGTCTTACTAACATGGGTGTTGGCTACAGCTGGTGGTGACGGGTCTCTCTTCCCTGACTGAGAACCAAGTGTTACACCTGGTATGTAACGCTCTCCTCGTCGCTGCCTGCATCACCACCATGCTCTTCTTCTTCGCTACAGGGTACGTCTGCTCTTAACGGGTGGTGCGCTAGTCGTGTGTTAAGACTGACCCCTTTGGGTCTGTCAGTGCGTGGAGTGTTAGAGGTTCGATATGCTAACCTAACTGTATTCGCCTATGAGAGTGATGAGAGTGATATCCTTATTTACTACAAGTACATGTACATGGTAGACAGGCCTAGCTGACATCAGTGACATACTACTATATAGAAAGCCCCTTGTTATGCTGAGCAGTTCGGGCAAATAATCGTAAGATATGGATTAGTCGTGTGTTAGAAGGGTTTATGCAAACGTAAGCCATGGTTAGTGGTGTGTGTGGTTATAAGATATTTATTTATTATGAAGAGTTGGTCACCCAAGAAATGGTTAGCCGTACTTGACACTGGTTAGCCGTACACAATATTGGACACTATACACAACAATGGATACTCGTACTGAACACCGGATAGTCATACTAAACTGTTAGACATATACCAGATTCAGTTTGTCATCAAAGAAACCTATTTAGCCATAACTGAAGAAGACAATGCGTAAGTCAGATCTTAAGTTTACAGAAGTGTGTGCGTGATAAATTCATAATCAGACCTCGTGTCAGTGAGTGAGAGTGACTGCCGATAAAAAGTGAGTGATAGTGACAGTCCGTCAGTGGAATTTTAATTATAGGCTTGTTTTGTGGCATATTATCAATGCTGAGTGCAAAAGATAACTGAGGTATTTTATATAACAAAGCATTTACCGTGTTATAAATTTCATATAAATTAAATTCTTTTATGAATTATGAATCATTATTCTTTGAAGCTAAGACAGTTTATTATTTTTGTGATGTATGTTTCTAAGCAAGCGTATGATTAGTCTTACGAAATTACTTTTATGTTAAGATATGTGTATGAATGTTGAGTGTGATTAATGTATACGAGTAAATTGATTTGTAATATTAAATATATAGACAGCATTTGTATTTCATAAATTGATGAAGCCATCAATTCTTCGTGTAAAATCTTATTTATAATGACTTTTCCTGTGAAGGATGTTCTACCAGGACTGTGTTGCTCAACTAGGCTTCCAGTCTGCCGTGATGGCCGCTTACCTCAACCTGTTGCTCGCTCATCCCACCCAAGCTCAACCCGAGTACCAGGTGAGTCAAAGTGCAGTCCGCCACTTGTATACCTTCTCTAGTAGTTTTATTATGAATAAGTGGGGCTCCTTTATTAGTCACTTTTAGCTTCAAGCGAGTGATTTACTCAGATAAGAAATATTTATTATGCGTTGTTTTGTGTAGCTTTATGAGTCCCTCGTCTGCAGATGATTTCATTGTGTCAGACGACGAGTTAATTGTGCCAGAGGCTTCTCCCAGTTTAAAGAGATAGAACATTTTGGAAACTTGTTCCCTCCATAGTCTCAGACAACAGGTACAAGATTTTGTTCGGGTTATTAACGCGGAGCAGTAGTACCAGAGGATAACCCAATAAAGTCAGGTTGTCATCGAGGCTAACATCAAGGTACCTACAGTAGCTATTGCAAGGTGAGCAAGGCAACATGTGTAAGGAAATGTACCCAACGTTTCTGCTCGTGCCGGGGATCCAACCCCAGTCCTTTAGTGTGTAAGCTGAACCTATCATCCTAGCCATACACAACCCGTTATGTATCATTGTAAATTGTGGATGTTTTATATATGTTACGTATATGGGATTCAGTTCATGCATTTTTGATAACTAGAAGTGCTCTTACATGTACTTGTCTTATTGGTAAGATTCTCATAATTTATTTATTTTCTTAGGTTGTAATCAACTGCAAAAAATAATGTTCTCATTACCGTTTTCATTTTTATTGATTGCATATATACCCTTGCTGATACTTAAAATATACTATTATTAAATATATACCAAACTTCTTTCGGTAAGCATATACATATTGGAGAATGCTTAATTAACTTTAGAATTACAATATACACCGGCAGAAAGAATATTAGATAATTATGGCACGGTAACAGCCTCATTGTCATACTGCCTCTTTAAATGATAATTTAAGAGGGACATTCTTACTCTTCCTTGTGTTGACAGACCGGGTGTATAGTTGTGGCTGTGGTGCTCCACTTCCTCTTCCTGTGTGCCTTCATGTTTCTCATGCTCGAGGCGCTCACTATCGCTCACCTTCTCGTCATCCACATCAGAAGTCCTTTCCAGGTACTTGTGCTTTAATCCCTCCTATAATTGCATTCGTAACGCGTCTTAACAATGCTGTTACCGTTATCATCATGTATTGTCAACAGAATTTTTAGCAAATATTTATTAATTAAAGTGAAACACCACATTAATTTGTCATTTGATAATATATGAATGTTGATAATACAAAAATGTTGATAACACATGACTGTTGATAACACATGAATGTTGATAACACATGACTTGATAACACATGAATGTTGATAACACATGAATGTTGATATATAACTCTTGATAATGCATAGATGTTGATAGCACGTAATTGATGAAACGACATAAATCCGTCAGAAATCGAATTGGTTGATGATGGCCTTCGGGTTGGTGGTGCCTATGGTGGTGGTGGGTATATCAGCAGCCTTCCTCTACTCCTACTACCCAGACTACTCCGTTAACAAGTGAGTTCACTCTCACTACCAAGTCTCACACAACCCTCAAATTAGTCAGCGTGAGAGATCTATAATGAATTCCATACCCATCCTGTGGGTGGTAGTTACTCTATACTCATTCTGTCAGATATTCACCCCATAGATCTCTTTTTGATTATAATAATAATAATTCACCCCATAGACATTCTGTGGGCGGTAGTCACCTCATGCACATTCTTTTTAAGGTAATCACTCTTGTAGGCTGTAAACATTACCTCATCCTGGCTATCTTAAGCAGCCGATCACTGCATTGAAACTCTCCTCCAGAGGCTAGTTTATTTTTGACATCCCTTCTCGTTAGTCACCAGACTCTCACCCCTAGTCCTTGTTCTGACCAGCTGCTGGTTGAACCCCCTGGGCCCAGCTGTATGGACGGAGGTAGTGCCCATCGGCATCCTGGTGATCGCTACAGTTGTCTTTCTCATGAACACTCTCTGCACTGCTGAGACCTCCCCGGAACTCATAGAAGTCGACCTTCGTGGACGACAGAGGTACGTAGTGTTACGCATTTTCTTTAGTATTTTTATGGACGAAAAAAGTGTGACAGCCATAAAGTATTCAGTGACTTCCGTGCAACTACAGCTTTCAGCGAATAATCATCTTTGTTTTTTAATTGAATTTATTCTCATATTATTAATACAATTACAATAAGAGGTTATTAATCACCAGAAGGGCCTTTTCCACCACGGTAAAGGGGGAGGGGGGACGGAAAGAAGAAAACACGTACACCATCGCTCATTTACTGACCGTCTTGCCAGAAGTGCAAGGACATCACAATTAAAATGACCATACACTCCTTCAGAGTGCAAGCGCTATACTTCCTACCTCCAAAATTCGAAATCCAGCTAACCTGTTTTCCCGAATCCCTTCCAACCTGTCTTCAGATTACTAAGTACACTTAATTTGCATTTATCTGAGCGCCTCTTCAAAGACAGTACTCACCTATTTGTGGTTGCAGGGGTCGAGACTCAGCTCCTGGCCCCACCTCTTCACTGATCGCTACCAGGTCCTCTCTCCCTGCTCCAAGATCTTTATCATACCTCGTCTTAAAATTATGTATGACTCCTGCCTCCACTCTATGACTGAAGAAATACTTCCTGACTTCTACACAGTGATTATGTGTGTATAATGGTGAAAGATTTTTTTTATTTTTGAGGTCACCCTGCCTCGGTGGGAGACGGCCGACGTGCTGAAAAAAAATGTAATTATACCATTATAAAAGTTTTAGCTCTTTACATAATGTGTCTTAGGATTTTTCTCCGAGCGTTATTTAAGTTACGTAAAGATACTTTAGATTTGGTTGGTTAGATTATCGTTAATTCATGATAAGTTTGTGTTGCTGAAAGCACGTATGGTATTTACGTCTGGATGCAAGACTCCTTCCTCCTTGTTATATTGGGAGAGATTGCTAAACTTGTGTGGGTCATTCAGTCCCGACAATACATATATGGAACATTACATTGATGTAAGCTTGAAACAGTAAAATTTATACTGAAACGCAGACATTATACATATCGTTGTCTTACATTTACGATACAAAATAATAAAACCTGTATGAAAAGTTCAAGAAGTATCCTACACAAGATACAGCGAGCTAGCGAGTAGTGTAGACTAGCACGAAAGCTTGAAAATGCAATGGTTTATCTCCTGACGAAAGGACTCTTAAGTTAATGTGTTACCCCCGGCAGTGACAGTAACAAGCTGCGGTGGGTGGTGTTGGCGCTGACGGTGGAGCTGACTACTGTGTGGGGCTTGGGGGTGGCCTACTACCAGTATCATGAAGAAGGAACCTACTTTGCCTTCTGTGTTGTCACCCTCATCCTTGCTCTCACCATCGTCCTCTGCAGGACCTGCTTCGACGACACAGTACGTATCTCAACTTCTTGCAAAGACACGTGTAGCGCCAGATGTTTTTGTCAATAAAGATGCCTAGTGTTACACGTGTGTCTTATCAACTCGGTATTGTATAACGCCAGTCAAGGATACTTTAATCCCTAAAACGGGATTAATGTATTGTAACCGTCAGTCAAAGGTGCTTTAATCCCTAAAACGGGATTAATGTTTTTATCAGTAGGGAGTGAAAGGCACTGAGGTTTGATCCAAAGAAGGATGAGATCCGTCTCCTTGACCACGAGCACCTCACCATCGTCAGGAGTGTCTCCCTTCAGAATGAGGGGCTTGACTTCCGCCACCTGAAAGGGTAGCCTGCTCTTAGTTGAAGGGGTAACTCTCCCAGCTGAGAGAGTTCAATCCCTTCCCTGAGTCTGTACATTGTATATACACAGTACTGATTATTATTATAAACCATTTATTGTTATTGTGGGTACTTTATGTTAGATTTTTATATATTTAATTACAGCCAGTGGTTAAAGTGACTATATTTCCTGTGCAAGTGAATCTATTTTTTGCAGATGTATGTAGCACAAAGTGAGAAAAATGTTCACTGTATCCATAGATTACTTTTTTTTATGGATGTTGTTACTTATACCTTCCTCACAGTTCCGCAGTAAGATGCACCGCTTGTGCTGTGGCACTGAGCTCACCTACAAGCGCAGTGAGATCCTCAGCATCAGTGCCAGGTCTCGGGTCTACCCCAGCACCGGCACCTCAGCTACGGGCACCTCGTCGGTCTCCGGCAGGTAGGTCGTTCCTAGGGCATGTCAGGCCTCACACCCTCACTTGTGGCCTTGAAGTGTACTTTGAGGTTATTGCTCCAGGGAAGGTGTATAATAGCCTCTCTGGTACCGTTTATTGTTGTGTTTTTACATCACACACAATTCCTTAACTATCGAATCTGTTGAGGTTTTCATTTGTTTTACAATAGCACACATTGCATTACAATTTTACTTTTGAATTAATAAAGTGTTGGAGAACTCAGTGATTTTTGCGCAACATGCAACTTAACACTTTTTATGGCGTAAAGCACGAATTTTTTGATAGTCTAACACTAACCCGAAATGGATTACATTTCTCACTCTCTCTCTCTCTCAACCATTCTTTGCCTGTCTCTTTCCCATCAATGGGGTGCCTTGATCCCGGGAACTGGATCCTTCCCACCTCTTCCTTGGATCGTCTTAAATGATTACCGCCCATTCCCTAGCTTTCAGGTGAATGTACCTTAATATCTCTACTTCTGTACCTGCGTTTATATCTCTCCCTCTCTCGGCTCCTATCTGCAACATTTAACATCTTGCAGAGTTTATGTGACACCATCGGTGGGGGGCGGTTGGAGTGCAGGAGCCTCCTCATTGCGCTCTGTTGCGCATCAGTAGCAAGGTAGCTGCAGCTCCTGCGCTAGTCTCAGCGGGTAGCTCCTCCAGGTTAAAACATCTACTTTACCTCTTGCATCTACTGGTCATTGTATATTATATATGTTCTTATTCTCTCACTCTCGGTCGCTTAGCTGCCACGACCTTGTTATTTTCGTAGTGTGTATAAAGTTGGCAGACGTTCATTCTAAATTTCTTTTGTAAAGGCCTAAGGTGAACTGAAGAGATTATACAGGTTTACCTTCATGAGTAGATTTATTAAGCATAAAATGTTTTCATAATTCATTCGTCTGCCAACTTTAAATATGTAAATAGATTCTTTAAATATGTAAATAGATGACTTATTACAGTGTTACGTGTAGGGTTAGTTGGCATGCATTGCATCAGAAAAGTAATCCATAGCGGAATGTTTTATGATAGGGTGCATGAAAGCAGTGAGTGCACGCTGTCACCTCACTCCTGAAGCAGACGACATTCAGCATGTCTTTCGTCGCGACCTGGTGAATGGGACACTTGTAAGACAGAAAAACCTTACTAGAATACTCAATATAATCTATTTGCTTTTCATGATTTATAAGTAGGAAAAATGAAAGTCATTATTAATAATAAAGCAATGTGCAAATTAAGTACAATTTGACTTTATTAGTCAAATGGACACTTACTGAGGACATTGCGTTGAAGTACGTGTGTTCATTGTACATCTGCAGCCTCTTGTGTTCAGCTAATGAGTGTATATGTGGAGTCCCACTAGGGAACTCCTTGAGTCCCACTGGGGAACTCCCTAAGTCCCATTAGTGAACTATCTTGCACCTGCAGGATGATAACGCCAGTAGGCAGCAAGCCACCTGGGGTAGACACACACCAAATACCTGCTGCCAGTGGAAGCACTTCAGCAGCTGGAAGAATTACCCCTTCAGCTGAGAGAGCTACCTCCTCGCAGGGGAGGACTACCCCTTCTGGGGATAGAACCACCCCTTCAGGGGGCAGAGGTAAAGCCATTCATTCAGAAGGAAGACACACTCCTGACGTTGGTACTACGATCTTCCCAGTTCGGAGCATCACTCCTCCTTTGTGTCGACCTACTCCAAACACTTCTCCAAAGAGCACAACAGAGTCATTGCAGGAATTATTAGGACCGCCCAATGTCACCTCCAGGAGTGATGTGAACCGTGGTGAGACGACACGGGCTGCTACTTCTCTCAGCAGGAAGGTCCCCAGTGTCGCCCCTGAAGAGGCTGCGAAGGAAGAGGTGCAGAAGACGTTGCCTGGCGCCAGCGAGTGAAGGAGAGAGACATGGCTCCCAAGGACTCCTCACTCTTAGGTGCGACGGTGCGTTGCTTTTTAATACATCTTGACTCTAAATGTCAGTGTTGAACACTTGCATCTTGAACGTTCATTGCATCTATAGTGACAGTTCTACCACCTCAGTTTAAATTAAATTTTGAACATTTTTTATGTAACTACAGCAGTCTTTTTAGTGTGTATTGCTTTGGCTTCATACACGTACTGTCTTCCTTTGCTATGAATGAAGGGGAAAATG